AAGACGGTCAGGAACTACGGCACTATTGAAGAAGGCGTGCTCACTGTGCTGGCGGCCAGAGAAGTGAAACGAAAAACCTTGGCAGTTGATGTTGTTATAGAGAACGAGCCACTTCAGTTGCTGGTGAATATTAGGTCGTCAGTGTCTATTTTACCAAATAATGTTTATCGAGACAAGTTCGCCAAAAGGTTCCCTTTGACTGCGGCTACAGCGGCGCTGTGGTATTTTTCACAGAAGAAAATTCCAGTCTTGGGATGTTTCACAGCCAGAGTTGTATGCAGGAACAACTCTGCCTATTTCCGCTTTTAGGTTGTTCCCCAAGGCATGGCATTACTGGGACTAGATGCAGTGCACCAGCTACAGTTGCACATCGTTGGCTCTACACTGGAGTGCCTACAAGTCATAGTCAGCCCTCAGTCACTTCCTCATGAATTGTGTGACATTTTCTTTCTTTTTGCTGATAAGTTGGAACTAGTGAAAAACTTTGTAAATTCTGTGAAGCTGCCCGCAGATGTAAAACCAGTAGCAGCGAAGGTTCGACGCTTGCCCTCGACGCTGCGAGATAAAGTAGCGGCTGAACTGACAAGATTATTGGATGCAGGTATTATAGAAAGAGTTAGTGCTGCGAAATGGGTGTCTCCTATAGTGCTTGTGCAGAAGAAGGATGGAACTGTTCGCTTATGCGTCGATTTGCGCGAGCAAAACAAAGCAGTAGTCATTGATAGAGTTCATTTGCCGCACACAGAGGAACTCTTGCATGCGCTGTGCGGAGCAGCATGGTTCTCAAAACTCGATCTTGCTGCAGCCTACCATCAAGTGGAATTTGCCGGAGAGAGTCGCTAAATGACGTTTATCACGAACAAAGGCTTATTTAGGTTCCACAGAGTGTGTTTTGACCTCGCATCAACACCAGCCACGTTTCAGCGAATGATGCAAGAAATCATGAAAAGCTGCAAGAGAGTGTTGTTCTATATCGATGATAACATAGTTTTTGGAAAGACTAAGAACTAACACAACCATAACCTTCAAGATTGCATCGAATTGCTGAGGCAGGGCTGTACCAAAATCATAAATGCTTATTCGCTGTCAAGGAACTCTCCTTTTTGGGTCATCATGTGAGTGGAAATCATGTTGCCCCACTTAAGTCAAAGGTGGATGTGGTGATGAAAGCACAAACGCCTGGCGATGTAGTCTCGCTGCGGTCTTTTCTTAGGCTCGTGGGCTATTACTCTCATTTTCTTCCCAATTATGCAGAGATGGTGGAGTCCCTGCGACGGCTTTTTAGTAAAGGACAGAAGTTCGTGTGGGACCAGAGCACTGAGGAGAGTTTTTGCAAGATCAAGAAGATGCTGTCGTCATGTGGAGTGGTGGCCATGTTCATTGAGTTTTTGCCTGTACAAGTAACCACTGATACCTCGGCATATGGACCGGGAGTTGTGCAACAGCAGGTCTTCAACAGAGAAGTACGTACAGTGGCGTTCGCTTCGAGGACACTAAAGCTACCAGAACGCAAACACTCTACCGGTGAACGAGAGGCACTGGAATTTTTACGGGCCTGCGAACATTAGCATGTTTATCTGTGGGGTCGCAAGTTTGTCTTACCAACTGACCATCAGGCTTTGGTGACACTACTGTCCACAAATGGGGTTGGAAGACACCCACTTCATACCGAATGCTGGTGTGCTAGACTTTTGAGATACAACTTCACCGTGCTGTACACAAAGGGGATTACCAATGTTGTTGCGAATGCGCTTTCCAGGTTACCTTTGACCCCTGCAGAGGATGACCCTGTGGAAAAAGTAGTGGCTGTGGTTTCCAGCATGATTACAAAGGGTTGGTTGCAAGCAGCAACAGCTGAGGAATCAGTGTTAAGTGAGGTGGCGCAGTATGTTATGTTCAGATGGCCAGATAAGGGCTATTTAGCTTGAAAGCTAAGGTTGTTTTTTCACGTACAAGAAAACTGTCAGTTATAGGCAGACTGCTGTTTCACGCTGAACGGGTCATTCCTCCAGCAGCACTCACTTCCAGGCTGGTTATGATGGCACATGAATCGCATCAAGGCATTGTAAGGACCAAATAACGGCTAAAAGAAAAGTACTGGTGGCCCGGAATGGACCCAGTGATGTCGAATCTCTGGTAAGGAATTGTGCCATCTGCAAAACATCAGTTAAATCTGCAATAACTGTAAAGGCCCCGTTGGAGCCTGCAAAGTGACCCGAGAAGCCGTGGGAAAAGCTCGGCATCAACACCGTTGCACCGATGGAGCAAGCCCCTCCAGAGTGCAGGTCTGCAATCACTGTAGTTTGATTACCACAGCAAGTGGCCAGAGGTGGCATTTATGCCCACGATAACTGCACAGGCAGTAGTGAAAGTACTCTTTGATATTTTTTTGAGAAAAGGGTATCCGAAAAGCATTGCGACTGATAATGGGCGTCAGTTCATATCGACATGTTTTAAGCAGTTTTTTCATGATCAGGGAATTCAGCACTGTGTTACAACATTGTGCTACCCACAATGCAATGGGCAGATTGAGCATTTCAACCATGTTCTCAAGGAGTATATTCATGACACAGCATTAGAGCGAAAGCCCCTGAAGGAGGCAACCTGCGACTACCTCGGTGTGTATAGGGCCACCCTGCATGCAACAACAGGGATGTCACCAGCTTACCTGCTGCATGGAAGAAAGCCCAGAACAACACTAGATGTTGTCGGCCTCCCAGAGAAAGAATTTTTCGAGGAGCAACCCCGGGTGTTGCCATGGAAAGTTTAAACACCGAATTAAGGAGTAGCAAAAACGAACAAAGAAGTACGTCGATGAAAAACGAGGTGCAAGAGCGTCCACCATTGAGCCAGGAGATTGGGTCAAAATAAGACAAGACGAACCAAAGACGAAACACAAGTTTTCTTTGCCGATCCAGGTGGAGAGACGAGTGGGCATTGAATTCGTTTTTGCTGGCATACAAGACGAAATGAAACGCATTAAAGCTAACAGTAATTGACAACGTAGGGACAGGACACACACAAGCACTAGCTGATGCAGTTACGGCGCGACGCAGCCTCGAGGTTTTCCTGCGACCTGGATCTTCCCATAGAGAGGTTGGCTAAGTAGAAAAACTATCGTGAAACGGAAGTGGGGCCATCAGAAGGCACCCAGGAAAGTGCTACCCTTTCTGACAATGCACAGGCCACAGTAACAGAGTCTATGCTAGAGGTTCCTGATCATCATGACATCTCTCGGTCGCAGTTGGCCACAACCACAGCACCATCAGTAACGGAGCCTTCGTTGGAGGTTCCCTATCAGCAGGTCATCTCTTGGACACAGTTGGCCACAACAACAGCACCATCACGCACCAGGCCGGAACGAACACTAAGAATACCAACACGATATCAAGACTACGAGCTTGCCTGACTGAAAGAATGTCATTTGTGTCATGTGCTGTCAAGTGAGTGCGCAATAAGTAGACTGACTTTTTTTGGCGTTTTTTTTCTTATTATGAGGGGAGAATGTGTTGTGTATAGGAGGCACTGTCAATGACATCACTGGAACATAAGAGATTGCCATCAAAATAAAAGGACAGTTGTTTTTCAGCAATGTACCGTCTTGCCTTATCATTCAGCGCTTCGCAAGTTACCATTAGTCGTTACACAAATCACAAGCACGTCAAGTTAGTGATGCCATAAGCTTACCAGTGAATGGGACCCGTGAGTTCCGCGAGTTAGTTTTTACTGCAGCCAGGCTGACGGAGAACATTCCGCTTCGCACGAAAATGTTTGAAACAGCGGAGCGCAAAACACAGCCGTGTAAAGCAAATCAATTGCACAAAGTAAAAGAAGTGATATGAAATGTGGAAACGCCTTAACATGGGATAGCCATTTGCCATGAGAATATGTATGTGTGAGGAAGTGCATTAAAGCGAGCCAGCGAATGCATACACATACAACGGAGTGGCCGATCACTGGAAAACGACGAACAAGAAAGAGCTCGTTATTCAGAGACAAAAATAAAGGGGAGGGTGGACTTGTGCAGACGAGGCAGTTTGGAACGTGGTCAGAACAGGCGGGATGGCTACCGAACCCACATCGTGCCGCATCGTATGCTTTCCTGGTGTTAACTTTGCGATCTGCAGGTTATTCTCTTCTACAACACGTGTATGTTCGATATTTCACATGAAACTAAATCAAGCACCTTCGCTCACGACGCGTGCGTGCAGAATGCATTCTTCAAAGGGGCGTGTAAATGTGGATGTGTGTCGTGACAAAACAGATGAAAAAAAAAATATGCAAGATCCCTGCTCCAGAGCTACCGAAAGTGTTATATGTGTCTTGAGTCGCTATAGTATAGTGGTGGAGTAACACAATAATAAATCTTGTCCATATTATCATGACGTTTGCTAACATCAGCCGAAATAGAGGGTGCGTAGCAAATGCCCGCCGCTTTGACATAGCCCTCACAGCGGGGAAAGCACACGTTTCTGGCACGGCAGCACCGCGGGAGTTCACCCCAAAGGCCCTCACTCTTCCCATGTATTGGCGCGGCACTTTGGACACTCCCCCTATTCCAGGTCACTCTACCACAACACTTTGGTATGGCTAGAGCAACTAATTAGATTGGATGGTTTCTTGGCTAGAGAGCACATAGTTGCCAGTTGCACAAAAAAATCGACTAAATTACGGCTGAACGAACTTCGATTGATGAAATTCAAGGACTTTTAAGGACCTCAAATAAATTTAAGAGCTTGCAAGGCCTCGAAAATGCCATATTGAAATTCAACGGTTTTCAAGGGTTTCAAGGACAGCTACGAACCCTGAAAATACAACGAAATACAACTTTTTTTTTTTTGCAAAACAACTGCTAGGAGTGATTGCTCATGATAGTCATTGTGTTAACAGTGCAAATACAGCTGCTAAAGGTAATGCTGGCTCTCATGAACGTGTTAGTGAGAATTACACCAATATGACATGAACTGCAGACACTGAAAATTAAAGGACAATAATCTTACCCGTGTTCCACGAATATTTATAGGTCTTTTGTAGTTTATGTAGAGCTTTGTAGAGCCATCCTCTGCTACAGCCACTGAGACACGCTTCAGCGTCTTATTGCCACAAGCAGGACAAAACTGTTTAGTCATTATTTTTGTGATGCTGCAATAGGAAAGCATACAAGTCATTCATACAAGGCTGACCAAAAACAAACACGAATGGTCATCCTGCACATTTAACGACTGCGGCAACAAAGATAACTTCTAATGAAATAATTTCATTCATGAGTAAGCAATAAAAGCTGCATACAGAAATATAGTAGGGTAACACTTATGAAGGCAGGTGATGTCCCGCCAAGGTGACCCAAGTGTGCCAACTGATTGTCCTGACGATGTGACCACATGACTGCATTCATGTGCCATTATATTGCAACAATTTCAGCTGAACAAGAGCCTTGTGCATGAACAGTCAACTTATCACTTATCAGGAACGATGGCAATCCCTATCCCTGTGCCATCGTTGCAAACGCCAAAGCACTGTTAAGCCAAGGCCAAGAGCCGTGGCCACTCATTTCGCCACGATCCGTGCATACGTTCTTCCACTTTAAGCATGGTTGAGAGCGCTGCAATACAGCAGCACACGAACGCAGTCACATGGTTTTATTTCATAACTCTTGGCCTTTAAACGCTAGAAAAAATTCCCGTGCAGCATTTATATTGCCACAAAAAAATTGCATTAGTCAATTTGGAGTGCCCTCTACAACGCAAAATAGACTTAAAGGAGCACTGACATCAAATTTCAAGATCGAGATGTGTCCATCATTCGATCGCTTAGTATGCATAGGTCTTCTTGGCCAAATTTGAATGGCATCCGTTGCGTCGAAGTTATTTTATTTCGACCTCAAAAAGCGTACGGAAGCTAAGGAGGAAAAACGGAAAATAGACTGCCCCTCGGCTACTGACCCGAAGGTCGCGGGTTCGAATCCCGGCTGTGGCGGCTGCATTTCCGATGGAGGCGGAAATGTTGTAGGCCCGTGTGCTCAGATTTGGGTGCACGTTAAAGAACCCCAGGTGGTCGAAATTTCCGGAGCCCTCCACTACGGCGTCTCTCATAATCATATGGTGGTTTTGGGACGTTAAACGCCACATATCAATCAATCAAATAGACTGCCCTGCGACATCGACACTAGTGCTACGTGTTCGGTGCGATACTTTCCACAAATACCATCATGAGTGACGATACGCTAGTAACAATGACGTCGACAATCTGAGTGCGTTTGGAGCCGACTCCCGGCCATGCTGTCACTAATGGCTCTCCTTGCTGTGTTGAAGCGTGCGTGAGATTCATTGTGTCGCATCAACTGATTTGACATGTGCTCCACAACATGAGTACAATCATTCAGAGTGACAATACGTGCCACAATGTCGAGGAACCGCTGCGCAGTGAGAACCTGCATGTTGAGGCATGAAAAAAGCAGAAATTGCATGGCGTTTCGTGCCTTTCTAAGCCACGAACCTCAATGCAGCCAATGTGTTGACTTCATACGCGCTGATGGACAGAGGGACTGAAAGCCCAAGAAGAACAGCCGCATTTACTCGCTTCACTTTGCACCAAGCTGCTCCAAGGCAAATCCTGTGTTGGCGAACTAGTTGGGTTTCACTGGCAGTACGAGACCCCTTCTCGAGGCCGGGGCTAAAGGGAGAGGGGAAGAACGATTTGGCGCTACTTAACCTAGCCGGTGGAAAACACATGGAGGGGCTTAAGTCTACCTCATCAGAGACACAGCTGGACTGACTGCACGTGCGCACTCCTAGCAGACGAAATGCCAGTGTGCGTGACGTCAACATTTTTAGTGAAAGCAGCATCAGCTGTGCAGTGGCCTCGATGTGGCAGCGAGATAGCGCCGACAGCACTACTATTTGGTGGGCTTTCGACCCATTTTGAACCACGTTCGATAGCGAATGTGTAAATCAATATTAGATATTCATTTGTACTTCAGATGCGTTTTAGGTTGTGAATCGCTACAAGGGGGTCGATAGCTACTCGACGCAAAAATCTTGAAAATGAGTAAGTTTGATGTCAGTGCTCCTTTAAGTAACATACACTTGACCCTTAAGTAATTACTAAAAAACTTGCATTATTATCTTAGCTAATTAATTAAATACAATATAAGAGCACATCACTGAGCATGATGGCAAGCCATGTTATTGGTTTCAATCAGCCATGGTTAACACTTTTATTTTAACTTTTGGTTCTAGTTACACGAAACACTCAGCATAAAAGTTACAAAGAAAAATAAGCCTCAAGAACATTTGTACCAGGGGCATGACCATGGAATAAAATGACTTATACCTTGCACGATGGCGGGACGGCTTAGCAATTCAGCCAGGAGTGCATTTATACTGCTTTGTGCAAATGAAGAGCTATTCAAAAACATCTTTTCAGTTGGCGATGTTCACCTTTCCGAGCCACTTCAGCGTTGCGGGAACAGGTGTAGGTAGTTGCAATGAAGGCTGATAACTTAGTGTTTGATGTCTTCTCACTTCTCAGTTCGCATTCAAGTGCAAACACAAATGTTGGCACTTGCTCGTTAGAAGACCAGCAATGCCTGAAAGTTGCATCTATTGTGGTAAGGTGTGGTGGTTTTACTGCAAGTTCTCACACATGTCAGCAGTGGTTCAGGGTACTGAATAGAATACACTGACATCATCCTACAGCTGCCATTTTGGAGTGCCAGTATGGTGGGACGCTGTTGTCTCACGTCATGTGCAAGCCATCTTATGCTTTACAACCTAAAATGCTCTACCCATGGGCTTGACATAGTCATTGAGTGTCTCTGCAAATATGGCCCTGGCCATGCTGCAACACTCTTGCTTACTCACCATATTTACTCGCATAATCCTCGCACTTTTTTTTCGCAAAAAGTGGACGTAAAGTTGGGGGATGCGAAAATTATGTGAGAAAAATGTACAGAGTGGGGGGAGGGGGGGGGACAAACAAACAAACAAACAAAAAATTCAAAGTGGCCACAGATAAGGATTTTCATGCTAGCAACTAACTACAGTAAAAGCTCGTTAATTCGAATTTCACGGGACCGGAAAAACTGTCTGAATTAACCGAATGCCGAACTAACGAATGAACAGGGGAAACAACATTTAAAATCAAGCTGCAGAAGCATACCTTTATTTGTTGAAGTATTTCGTAATTGTTGTCTGCGTTTGCGCGCAGATTCCGGCTGACATCACAATTTTTTTTAACTGTTCCAAAAGGCCAACAGCACGCAAGCTGCCGGGAGTGTTCAGGCAAGCGTCCTCTAATATTAACAGCGCCTCCGAGACTTCCCGTGAGGTGCGATGAGGTCGCGGCTGTATCTCCTCGCATAATTCTTCATCGGAATCGTGGTCTTCATGGGCGCCCGTGACATCACTAATAATCTCTTGATCGGTCAGGAGACTACTCGTGGCGACACCATGATCAATCGCGATGTAGTCCTGAAAGGTCATATCTGTGGGAAGGACAGCATCGAAAGTCGGGCAGTCATCGTCGGTGGACTCGGCTGACACCTTTTCGCCGCACACACTCCTGAAGACAAGTTCGTGTCTCTCTCTAAACCTCGCAAGCCACCCTTCTGACGCTTTGAACGATTCAATGTTCATCATTGCAGTGTACTTCTCACCTTGCGCCATGATGAGAGGTCCGCTCAAAGGCAGATGCGCGTTGCGACAGTCAGTAATCCACCGGAGCAAAGCTTCTTCGAGCTGGGGATGAGCTGCGGTTCGCAACCGCTTTCTAGAGGCATGAAACTTCTCGCTTTCGAAGGCTTGTCGAATCTGTTGTTCATTTTTCACGTACGTTCCCAACGTGCTCCGCTTGACGTTGTACTTGGTCATAACCTGCTGTCGCGATTCGCCGTTCTTCAGTGCTTCCAAAATTTCCACTTTAGTCGCCAAGTTCTTCGCGTCGTAGTTCTGCCGCTTTTTCGGCGTTGCCATCACTGTAGTGCACGATGGTGGTGGCATGCAAATACGGTCACAATGGAAGAAAAAGAGAACTTCGCAAGAAGAGATGGTTCCGACACGACAACACAAGGGAAAATGGCGTCGGAGGCACTAAGTGGAGAAGAAAGAAGACGCCGACGTTCGGTGACGCTGCGATCGCCCCCACTAGTTGATGATGATGGCGATGCCACTCAGGTTTCGGTTTCACTCCAGTGGTGCCAGCGCTGCTTTATCACACTTTTGTGTGGCAGCAGCCGTCAGCATTTGTCCGAATTAAGCGGTGCGGAGCCGAATTCCGCCGAAATAACGAAGGTTTGGTCCCATAGATTAACATGCACTTTGGCCGTGACCAATAGAGCCATCCGAATTATCCGAATTTTCGAATTAACGGGTGTCAAATTGATTGATTTGTGGGGTTTAACGTCCCAAAACCACCATATGATTATAAGAGACGCCGTAGTGGAGGACTCCGGAAATCTTGACTACTTCGGGTTCTTTAACGTGCACCCAAATCTGAGCACACGGGCGTACGACATTTCCGCCTCCATCGGAAATGCAGCCGCCGCAGCCGAGATTTGAACCCGCGACCCGGATGTCGAATTAACGAGCTTTTACTGTACAAGCTTTGAGAAGTATTGTACAAGCTTTGAGAAGTATTGATCAAGACTTACCTTAACAACAAAACCACAGGTCACTCAAGGCAAGATTTATTTGTGACAAGAGCTGCAAGCAAATACAGTTTCAGCATACCGTACGCAAAACTTGAGGGCGTAGCGTTAGTGTTCGTCACTAAACTGAAGCCCACAAAAAATTCGCGCAATGACGTCAACCTTGGACTGATTGACCTCTAACGAGGAATCGTCCACGATAACTTTCTGACGAAATAAAGGTTTACCATGCATCCCAATCTTAGGCACACGGAAGGCCCAGCATGTCTTGGTGGCGCTCAGTTGCTTGTACTGCCGTCGCCAGTAGTGAACACAAAACTCTTCGAGTCCAAAGTGCATACTAGCGGCACTGTTGCCATTGTTTAGTGCATGATCAATCACTTTAAACTTGAAAGCAGCCGTATAGGTTCCGTATTGCTCCATAGCATAACCACAGGACACAACGTACACTAACACCACGCAACGCGCACTTGCCACTTTGGCTTGGCTTAGATTAAACTGGGGCTCTGCACGTTAATAGTTCACATTAACACTTGACAGATCGTGCCGGGCTGTCGTGCCCTGTCATCATCAATGGTTGGAAGGAGTAGACGACATACGGCAGCAATTTTTGGCAGTGTGATAATTGCTTGCACAAAAAAAAAATCGCATTTTTGTTGGGCAATGTGGGGGTGCGAGAATTATGCGAGTAAATACGGTAATAAGTTCACATTTACTACAATACAAATTATTTCAAAAGCTGCTAGCTTCACTTTGTATAACATTCCAATTTGTTGTTATTGCTTTCATTGGTTTGCCCTTACAGAGAAACAGTGATTTAAAAAACCTCCAAATCTGTTTAGAGGTCTCAAACTAAAGTTTGATGCTCTGCACGTGACAATGAGACAAGATGATACAAGAACATACAAGCATGGAGTACTATGAATGTTTTGTGCCCGAGACAATGTGCAAAAGTATAATGAAAAAAAAACATCTGCTTACGTGAAGCATGCATGGCAGCGCAGGACGAATGTTCTTGCATGCCTGATAGCCATCCCATCAACAGAAACTGCTTTTAAACCCATCTGAATCAAGACATTCTGAAAAAAAAAAAAAAAAAAAAGATGTTGATGGCTTTAAGCACAACTACCTGCATACGCACAATGATGACAGTACTTTAGAAGAATTGTGGAAAAGTGCAACGAATAGGACAAAAAGGCAGGCTGAGAGAGACTAAGCGTTGTATTGTCAGTCTGTCCTATTCCTTGCACTGTTACTCCATTCTTCTAGTATGCATCAACAAGCCCAAGTTGACAACGTATTGAGCGTTTTTCCTTCTTTTTTACCCAAGAATATCACGTTGCTCTCACTTGAACCAGACAAGTTTGGCAGACATAACAATTATTCATCCATAAGTTGAAACATGTAATAATAAATTATTTTACAATGTATGCATAATCTTTACATATACCACATTTGCATCCACATGAAATATTGATGTCTCTGCAACATTATGTGTACCTTTCAATGATAAACGAATGCTAGATGGCTTTGAAGTTGAATAAAGCTGTTTTTTCTCAACACCTGCTCATTAATACGCAAATCTAGTACCACCATGGGGAATATAATGTTAAGGCATTTAGAATGCCTTGACATCTGCCACTGCAGTTACTGCGATTTGGGACACCTTAACATAAGGTAAAAAAAAATGACCTGTCATAAATGTCAAAGATGAGCTCTTTCAAAAGAAAAATGAGTACATACAAATGAAAAAAGAGGGGGATGTTTGCCAGACAAATAAGGAACATACTGTATCTGAATTTCTACATACAACAAAACATAATCTCAATACTCCCCTGTAAAATTTGCTATGCAACTTTTTCATTTATAGACAATCCATATACAACTTTGTGCAGAAACACCCAAGGTTTCTTCATATTTCCAGCACTGTTTTGTAAGACTTTTTCAAGACGAAACATAGACACCTCATCAAATGCAAAAATTGACTGTTGGCAGGGCCAACACAAGTAATGCAAAAAATCACTAGATGAAGCCACCACGTGATGTCACCGTGACGTCACATACCTTATTTACTTGTGTGAACCGCCCTTTTCTTCAAAAAAGTTGGCGCCAATTTGGTGAGAGGATTCATTATGCGAAAGAAAAAAGTCAAGAAAGCTATGGCAGCAAAAATTTCGCATGACGGTTTTGCTTGTTTAGGCCCGCGAAATGCGCAATGAATCATTTTTCTAGCCTGAAGATCTCGTTTTCTTCTTTAACCAATGCGCACGGATAGACGCCGAAGTGTTGTCAAGCCGCTTGGTTCCAATGTTCCAGCGCATGCTCAACCAACTTTAAGTTTAAAACCAGCCATGTAGCTAGCATACTGGCCGAATGCGCCCTGCAGGTATGCCAAGTTCACTACGACAAACCCGACAACAAAAATGCAGCATTAGATGGCAGCACAAAAACGTTGCGGTGGGCACTTTGAATGGCCTCCAAGATGGCGGGTGCGAGTCTGTATATTAAGTTTAAGGTCATGTTTTTGTATGACTATGCACCAACTAGCCCAAGCTTCTACTCTTGTAACTCTATGGTGGTGTGTTCTTATGCCGCGTGTCTGCCATCTCAAAGACCATGCGTTTGTTTTCTGCTTTGCTCTCGTGCCATTGTGCTTACGTGGCGCAATGAGCAAAGAGGTTCCTCCTGCATTCGACAGATGGCACTCTGCCGCAAAAAATGCAAAAAGTGCAACTTTTAAATTTCGTTTGATGTCGTCCACGTTCGCACTGCTCACAACTGTTTAGCCATAGAATTAATATACAGACTCTAGAGGAAAACCTGGGCCACAAAAGCTATAACCATCAAAGCGCTGACATGTTGGAACACTGTCACTGTTGCCATTACAATACTTGAAAGAAGTGCTTAATATATCAATTTAATACACTCATATTCTCGCAGTATAAGTTATAAGCAAGTGTGTTCACATATTAAAAACAGAAATGGTGTGCTATTTCTAAACTACTTTTACGGAAAGATACAATGGTCATTCATATAATTTGCTGCAAGCGGAAAAAAGTTTGCAGTTTTGTTTACTAGATGGCGCCACCATCCTTGTATTGTAGCAACATTTGGTAGGGGGGCCGTGCGGCTTGGGGCAGATTCCGCCGGCTTGCTTGCACGTCTTCTGTGTTTTCTGTTGCCATGAGCCAACAATTCGACTTCATGTGACATTCTCTTACTGCAATGCAACAGAGGTCATCGAAACGCTAAAAAATACCAGGGGTTATTGCAGCATGCAGTTGCGATTGCGAGCGTACATCCCTCGAAAGCTGAGTATCGTTCCATCATGGCGGCACCTAAGTGGTTATAGGTTTTAATGCATGGGCCCTATGGGCAGCTTTTCCTTTACAGTCTGTATATTAACTCTATGTGTTTAGCATGGTTAAGAAACTATGCTTTGACTTTTATTGCATTGTTACTTTGTGATATAATGACTCAATTTAATGCTATTTCAATGGTCAACGACACTGGCTATCACACCGAAATAATACGAACAGATACATTAAATTTTTTTTTTCTAAGAATCATGGTAGGGTGTGGGTTCATTACGCGAGTAACTACGGTATCATTAAGTGATGCATTAAGAACCCTGTGAGGTTTTTAAAAAAAATAAAAAGAACCTTAAATGTAATATCATTGTTGACAGTGAACCTGTAGTAGCTATGCAGCTATGCATAGCTTTTAGAGAATTAACTTATTTATTTGAACAGGTAAACACTGACTCACATAGAATAGATAAGCAGTGCAGTCCTGGATGAGAGATAGAGGCGGATGAAGCAAACTGTGGTCACGCCAGCCTTAACAACAATTACAGTGTTTTCCTTTCACACAGTAGGAGCAGAGAGGGAAACAGAGGTGCAAGCTTTCTTTGTTGGAAGTGCAAGCTTTCGTTGTTAGCACCCAACTTATAATGTGCACATCCAAGCAATTCGTGTTTAAAGGGATGCTGAACAAAATTTTCGCCGCTAATACTTTCAGCCAAATCGATAGATTGGATCCCGACATTGATAGCGACAACCTTCATTCCAAGCAGAAACTATGGTAAAACGATGAATTTAATGCGTTTTTCACAAACTGTTGCATCACGCGGCAGCGCCAAGAACTAGAGGATATGACGTTGGATGACGTCATACTCACTGGAAACTGGCAAGCCGAGGCACGCTCACAATCCATCAAAAATACAACCAATCATTCAAAAATATGGGAAATAAACTCGTTTTATTAGAACAGTGGCATCTTCTAAGTAGAATTTCAAAGTTTCGTCAGTATTTCCAATTTTGGTTCAGTATCCCTTTAACATTCAGCACTCGACCTGAATAAATTAAAATAGCATAGAGGGCTGGCAGGAAAATACCATTACACCCAAGGACCCTATGACTAAGTGTTTAATTTGAAATGGCTATCTGGTACAGCTATAAAGTTGATTGTCACTACTTAACTAAAATGGCATGCATTTTATTTTTCGAGCGTTATTGAAAGCTGGAACGGTTAACTCAGTACTGTTTGTGAATCAGCACTGTGATATTTTGTAAAATGATACTTTGTCTTTCTTTATATTGCTTTTATTTCAGCCTTGTAAACTGTGTAGCTGTGTGTCCTTTATTAAAATGTCCTTCCCTCCTGCAATAGCCTTACATAGAGCTGGAATATTGAAAAATACTAGAATAAATAAGTTTCTTGCAAATAATGAACTCGGCAGAAAAGCAACATGAAATGTTAGAGAACAGGACCGAGTTACAGCCACAACTAACTTGTAAGCGTGCCAACAATGTTATGCGACATACCTGAATAGCAAAATCTGTTGATATACATGCCACTGGTATGGACACCTCTTCCAAAGTTAGCAAACCCATTTCTTTTTTTATCTCGCTGATATTGCTTGGCGTTATCCACTCATCATCACTTGAGTCTTCATCTGCTGAATCTGTTTTATCCTCACTGCAGTTTTCCTCACTGCGGCCATCCGGAGATCCAGCAGGCTCCACAGGGTCAGACTTTTCTGCATCTGCCTACATAATATTCATACAACTATGTTCAGCAATAGGTATGCTTTCACAACGCACAGGCCATATGATGTGCTGCTTTTTAAGACTTGCTTGACCAATTTAGCCAAAACGAATATGCAAGCACACTACGTAGACGTGCAGAAGTGAGTCAATCTGCAATGAATAACAATGACACACTGCGAATAGCTGACCATTAAAATAGTAGCATGCGTATCCTTTTCAGAGCAGCTACTCCCTCTGCGAGTAGAGGTTACATCGCATATGTCATCGTTGCACCACACAACTCGCCTGCAGTGTAAAAATAGCCAGCAAGCAATGCGAGCATGCAAAATGAGAAATGCTGAACAAACACGCTGCCGAAGGCAACAGGAAAGAGCCCCTGATGTACGAAGGGCAGCTTGCATCCTTGCACCACTACACTGAACTATTATTATGCTTGAATCTCTGCTATTATTAAATCATTTTAAAGAATATTCATGGTAAAACATTCCTTGCATGATGCTTCACAACTATATAATATCCCCTTCAGGCGCCGCGTCCACATCTGTGGACACAACTTGCTTTGGCCAGTTTTTCGGACCAGCGTGAAAGGAAGGGCACGGCACATAAAATCAATTGAACCTTCTACATAGTCAAGGCATCTTAATTTAACCCCAATGTGCTGGGTAAGTATGAAGCTAATTATTTTAGTGAAAGCACTGCGATGTTCGGCGCGTCGCTCGACGTGTAATGTTCAAGGACCAACTTAATAGGTATTAATTTCCTTTGCTCAAAATGAACACAGCCCAAAACTAACTGCACATGCATTTTGGGCCTAAGATTTCCATTTTTGTGTGTAAAAATCACACATGACTGACTGCAGAAGCAAATAGTTGATTATATGCAAATTAAAAATAATTAGCAAAGCTCACTAAGAACAACCAATTTCTTAAATTCCTTATGTGGAATGTAATATCGAGCATCTTAGAATCTTGTGCAAAATTTAGACATTTACGGACAGTTCATCATAATTCGTTCCTAAAAGGATTATAGCTGAAATTGCAGGTGGTGCCTTGCGAGGAGACACTTCTGAAGCACCTATTTTTCATTGACCATTTGCACAAACTGATGGCTGAGGATAAATTTAGCATAGGTCAAAGAATCAATATCATTAGATTAAATTTTTAATTATGCAATGCCATCACTATATTGCTGCCGACCACATGAACACACAGTGGCGCACACCATGGGCAGAAATGATGAAGAGTGCAAGTCATTGATTGAATAAATCTTAAAATAGAAGAAATCAAGGCTACACACCACATTAAGAGATTGAAATAAATGGCATTAAAAAAAACTGGGAGACTTGAAAACAGGAAGGGATGCTGCCTGCTTTTTACATAGTTTTCTTTTAGCCTGCATACCTTCTTGAGCAGCCTTGTTTTACGTATGTTGTGCACTTGTGAGTCTTGCAGCATTTGAAAAGTTAATTGTTTTCACCTCAATGAACTGTTATTGGTCTTGCCCTTTTCCTTGCAGTGGGAGGCCACATTGTTTGACACTGTGGTTAACGGCATGATTGCTACGCTGGATGCAACAAGCAACAATGGTGTGCGAGTTTCCTCTACAGGACCTTTCTGCTCATTCCATTGGCAATGCTTGGCAATGTTAGTGGCAAGTAAAAATGTGGCCATGTGAACCCAGGAAAATAAAACTGAGGGTTACACAATTTGGCAACCACACACAGGAATTAAGAGCAGCCTTCTTGCATCAAAAGAACCCAGCACAAATGATTGAGAACGCAATTGAACGCGCTTGCTCTTTGGACCGAGAAGTAAAAATGAAAGAAAAATACAAAAACAAACATATAATGTCAGGAGAAAATTTAATCCTCGCATACTTTACTGCCGCCCTTCGGGTAAACTCTATACTCGGCCGCCACTTCAACACACTTACACAGCTGTGCGCTCTCTGTAGTTTTTCAAACTCCACCCAAACTGGTTCACTGAAGTAATAAAAACCTGAGATTATTTGTCAGGGTGAAAACACAAATCCAACCACTATCAGGGCTGTAGACCATGTGGAAAACCTTATTGCAAGGTGTGCACACACATGGGGACCACAAATACGACTGAAGCCTCCTATTCAGACTTTGTTTATAAAATTAATAACTGTAACCGTGTCTCAGCCAATGTGGTATACAAAATTTGCTGTGTGTGCAACCAGGATTATAATGGACAGACACACACCACGTTCCGTTTAAGTTTCAACAACCACAGGGCACACGTAAAAGGCCTCCCTCATATGCCGCTCTCCAAGCACATTAACCGGCCTGGTCACTTTTTCAAGCGAATAAGTGTCATACTCTGACAATTCGGCTTCCAGAAAACATGGGTGCGCTTACAGCGAAAGTCCTACTTCATAAACAAGTTCAAATCACACTCCCAGAGAATCAGCGAGAGCCCTGGGCAACTGACGTGCCTCCTCTGCAACCTCTCATATAAATCAAAAAGGCAATTAATTTATTTACACAAACATGAACTTAGTCGAACAGAATCATCTAGCGCAGGAATATAAATGCAAGCATAATAAATGTTCTTATGTTATACACTGTGATTGTCTTTTATATATTGAAACTCGTTAGCCAGGAATACTTTTTTTGAAACTGTGTATGTCACACACACACGCACGCACGCACACACACAGTGTAATGTAGATGTAGTGGAGCTTGGGCATGAGTGTGTGTAGGACTGAGTGGAAGGAAGAGGAGAACAAAGGCAGAGAATAAGAACAGCCGGTCCACAGCAAGGGTGTTGTCTCTTTGTTCTCACTCTCTCTTTTTATTCATAATGGCGCAGTCGTCATAAACAAAGCCTTACAGCAGAGGTTATCTGTGTTGCAGGGTTTTGGCGTCTGGCGAACCCCAGCCGCTAGCCTGAAGAACGCTCCCAGGCTTCCTCGTGGATTGAACCTGCAAGTTGGCCGCTGCCACAAATATCCATCCCACCACCAGCCGACAGCGTATAGGCCTCCAAGATGGTCCCAGAGAACTATTTGACCAGTGGTGTGCTACTTCCCAATGGGGAGGGGCTCCTTTCTGGGAACGTGGTTCAGCTTCCGAAGGCGTGGTTCGTTTTGGAAACCATGCCTTGCCATGCTGACTTATCGACAGGTAGCATGGCAGTCTGCCCTCGAGCAACCATTGGAACATACTTAGTTTCTTCGTCTTTCCAGAGGGAAAAACGCCCGCTGTTTCGGTGGTTGGATCGACGTTATACCATCCGATTCCAGACATCACCCAAGCATCACCAAAAGTGGTCCCTTCTAACGCTACAGGTATGCGTCGTCGGCATTGGCAAGCTTAGTGTTCTAGAGAAAACTGGAGCACCACACACGGTGCTGCATCGACGCCATGGCCCAGCCAACCTCCAACTATGGCGTGCGGTGCCCCCGAGTGTCCTCGATGGCTATGTGTTGCCTGTCGGTGCGCTTGACCTGCACCTCGAAACGAAAGCCGGGAGCATGTTCTTTGCCAGCGTTCTCGTACTCGGGGACCTACCCGCTGATGTGATTCTAGTAGCTGACTACCTCCTCTGTGGTGAAGTTCAGCTCACCATTGATCAAAATGGAGTCAACCTCAACTCCTGGACTCAGAGTCCCGCATCAGCCCAAAGAGCCCAAGTCGACAGATAACTATTTCAAGGGCCTACTGATACGAAGAGCAGCTACTGTGACCAGACCGACACGCATCAGCTGGCTTCGAGAGAATCATTAACGGAGAGTGCAAACATTTCGTTCAAAGAATCCAGCAAGGAGACCATTGATGCGCCCACGGTGTAAGAATATACTGGTGCTGACACTCTCACCGCAAAGTGTTGAAAAGCGCAATCCTAGCGCATCCAGATAATGTTCGGGTCGATATCAGTTATCTCCCAGCTTTGTCGGTGCCTCCATAGATGGAGCTACGAGCGGGGTCGGCCGTCTTGGTCTCGGCAACACACTCAGCAGAAACGTGCATGCTGCTGATTCTGAGTCTTCTGGTTGGCATGCGTGGCCGCACTGTTTTGAAGCCATTTTTTTTTTTGTTGCTCACGTTTGTTTAATGTTATTCTACCGACGAAGGTGACATCAAATTGCTAAAAGGTTCTCGAAATGGCTTGAACGTTTTTTGCACCAAATTGCTGTTCTGGCTTCGGACTTGTGCGGAGCGTGTGCATCTCTTCAAAGTGTCGTCTGACAGTGATCACGTGATGGTGATCGTTAACATAAATATGTGAATTCGCAACGTAACATCTAGCCATGAACAACAGCATTGCTTTAGCGTACTGTATATGAAATACTTGCATGGTTCAAATATATATATATTTCGAGGAACAACTGCATTGCTATTGTGTGCTTGATATAAAATACTTGCGCGTTTCAAATATTTATATCGCATTTACATTGAACAAATGCAACTATGCTTCAACAATTTCCTGTGCAAATGAAAGCAGTGATACACATGAAATACATTTCTGGCGCAGTAACAATTTTCTTTTAATAGATGGGTAACAATTATTAATGAGGTTTGACAAGTCAAAACCATGATTTGTTTACAAGGGACGCCATAGTGGAGGGCTCCTGTTTAATTTTGACCATCCGGGGCTGTTTAACATGCACATCTAAGCACGTGGAAGTTCCTAGCATTTCTTCCTAACAGGGAAGTATTTTGATGGAGGAATAGCACGCTGGGCTAGGGTTTCAAGTTATCTTGCGCGCCTTCTGCCCTGCGAAAGCATTTACCTGCTCAGCACGCGAAAGTGGGCTCCGACTGGTGCTTCTAACTGCAGCACTAGAATCATCTCCTATGCGCACTGCAGCCACATGGAGGCTGACCGTGGCGTACACCACAAAGACCCCCCAAGGCACAGTCAATACCCTCCACCAAAGACAGTATCGCTAACGATGACAGTTCACAGTTTAGGGCCGCTGGGCCTTCGACGACCACTGCGGCACAGCCAATGTCATCTGCCTGAACGCATTTTTGAAGCACCCCATGCACGTTCGCATCGTGGCCGAGTGCTATGTAGACGTAGTGGAGCTCGGGAATGGGTGCATGTGGGGCTTAGTGGAAGGAAGAGGAGAACGAAAGCAGAAAATAAGAACAGCCAGCCCGCAGCAAGGGCGCTATCTCTTTGTTTTCTCTCGTTTTATTTACAATATATATATTTTAAGGAACCCCACCATGGGGGTTTAGTGCCTAAGGTACTGCTAACCCGCAGGTCATGGGATCAAATCCTGGTTGCGCCGGCTGAATTTTCGATGGAGGCAAACATGCTGTAGGCCCGTGCTCTCAGATTTGCGTGTACCACTTACTCTAAATTTCTGGAGCCCTCCACTATGGAATCTCTCATAATCATATGATGGCTTTGCAACATTAAATCCCACCAGTCATTCAATTATATATTGCAAGGATGACAGCGCCCCTGAGGCACAGGCACACGCTAGAGGCTAGACGGCGAATAGAAGGACGACGAAGTCAGATAATAGAACAACCTGATAATAATCAAGCATTGTGTCTATTTGTCTCATTAAAATTGCACAGTTGACATAAACAAGCCTTGCGGCAGAAGCTGTCTGTGCTACAGAATCTTAAGCATTGCAGATTCGCCACTCGAGGTACGCTATCCACGCTTCTTCGACTATGAAACCCACCAACTTGCCCGGCACCAAGCACAGATCTAAGACAGCGTGTATGCCTACTCGGTGCCCTATAATCTAGTGCTGCTGCAAACGCCATCCGGAGATGGCGTCCACGCCCCCTTGGTGGCTCAAGAACATGCTTATTCCGGCGCCGCCAGACTACTGTGACCCGGGGATGCTGTTCACGCTACCCACTGCAATAATGCTTCGCTCAGTACTCTATCAGCACCTCAGCTGCTCAAAAGTGCTGGTGAAGATCCCCCGGCCAAGGATACCGCTGCAGTGAGTACACTGCTCGAGGAGTACTCCTTGGACGTCACCACTGGCTTTATGTGTGAATCGCCCAAATGCGCCTCCCAGCTTTCCTGCACCCTTGCATGACTCCGCATTATTGTCAACGCCTTGACATCATCGACGTCTGTGCCGTCTCCTGTGGCCGTGCCAGGACTGTACACGATCGATGCAGTGTTGGCCGCAGCCACCTTAGAAGACCATAAAAAAGCTCATCCGAGAGCCGCAGCAAGCCACAGTTTACCCTCACAGAGCTTTCACACTAGCTCGGCGGCTTGGCATCGACAGGCTTCAGAGTTTCAACAGCCGTGTTACCATCGCTGGCTGCCCACGAACTCCCACTATTCCATGGCTTCCAGGACGACGCCGACGATTGGGTATTCATCCAGTCGCAGCGTGGCTAAGGCTGAATGCGATGCAACCAGTTCCGCCCTTCAGATATACTTCTGGTTGATACCCGGACCAACCCTCAGCGTGGCCGAGACCTGCGGCCACAACGAAGCAGCCAATGTCGGCCACCCGAGTTTTCAGGACATTTTCAAGACAGGTCATGGCGTGCAAAACAATGACCGTCCCGGCACAGCCAGCACCGCCCAGCAGAGACATTTCGGCAGCCCGTCATGCTGCGCCGCAGTCACAGCCCAGTATAAGGATGACAGCCCGCTGATGCGCGCCAGAGGCTAGACTGTGAAGGGGAGGATAACGAAGTCAGATAATAGAACAACCTGACAACGATTAGGCGTTGTGTCTATTTGTCTTATTACAATATATATATATATATATATATATATATATATATATATATATATATATATATATATATATATATATATATATATATATATATGCACACAAGGCAGTAACACCACAAGTCTTATATCAAAGCTAATTACAGTGCATATCTTGTAATAAATAAGTTGCTTATCATTAACAGCAAACATAAGTTACATGGAACCTTTAGAAATAAAATACTTACAACCGCGTGGGTGCTGAAAAAACCCGGAGAACAAACCAAGTCTCTTGGGTCCCCAGTTGTCTTCACCTACAAGAAAGGATACTCATAATAATTTACCAGTCTTATTCCAATCTTAGGAGCGGGAATTGGCAAAGTGTGCAATGTACTACCTCAATACTCTTCGGTTTTTCGGAAAGATGGTCTGTCCCCACGTGCTCCTTCTCCAACATGTACGTGAGAGCAAGAACCTTGATGTCAACTGCTGACAAACTTGGATAGTCTCCAGTGAGCTTAGAAAACTCCGTCACTGCAGTAAGTAAAGTGTAATCGTGAGGACGCTGAGCTGATGCATAGGGGAATTGTCAAACGGTCTGCTAACTCACTGATCTTTATTGCTTCCGGCGATGGAACTTTGTACACCAACTTGTACGGAAGAACTTGGAGCCTCTGTTTTGTTGCTTTGTCCTTTATTTCATTGACAACTTCGGCCAGTGTGTAGATATTTTCACCGATTTCCTGGATAATAAATTAGTCATAACCCACCTCACGGTGATTACAACACTACTTGTCAATACAATCGCAAACAAAAACAAACTCTTTCCATACCTGCAAAGCCGCATTCTTTATGAAACCTCCGGAATCAACGACCAAATGTTTCACGCGTGCACTTGATGACAACTTGACAGGCTCCATCTCTAACTCAGGATCTCACTCACACCGCTAGCTCCGATCCCACGCAGAACACGCTGCTGTCGCAAAAAGCAGCTACTCGACTTGCACGTGGCTTGGCTTAGTTCTTGCCCTCCGTGGTTCTTGCGATTGCCTGTAGTGACGTCAAGGATGAATGGATGGATTAATATGCATGCACCCTTTAGATTGGGCAGTGGCTAACGCTACCTAGCCGTAATACTTAGTGAACAAAAACTAACTTTATCTTTTTTTTAATGGTGAAGTTAAGCACTGGCACTTTGCAGTGAAGTGTTTAATTTTCACTCGCGCCTTGATTGTAGCCCCCAATGAGATAACTTCCTCCTAGTTAATTCTACCCACTTAAAGTTGATTTTGCCCTCCCTGGCCCTAAACCCCAGTGTTTTGAAAAACTCTGTGCCAAAGCCCTTTACAGAACATTATCAAGAGTTCGGCAGTTTCCTCCTCTCCACACGCACTGCATACCGTGTCTACCCCTTCGTATTTGGCCCGATAAGTCTTGGTTCGCAATACTCCCGTCCTGGCCTCAAACAGTAGAGAACTACCCCGAGAACTATCATAGATCCTTTCCTTGGAAATTTCCTGCTTATAAGTTTGATAGATCTTCAGTGCGGACTTCTTAATAATGCAAATTTTTCACATGTCGGTCTTCGTTTCCTTCACCTTCTTAACCAATAAATATTTTCAGTTTGGCCCCCTGCTGTTTTCTGAGTATTTACCAGTCAATTTTCTGGTTCGCTTCCTCCATTTTGTATCTACATTCCTCATGTACAAGCATAGCCTCTATGGTACAAGTAGCTGAACACCTTCCTGGACACCAACGCTCCTCCTTCATTTCTCCCAATCACTTCTCTCTTCGCGCCCTCGGCGGCCAGTCCTTTTTTTTTTTTTTTTCTGCGCGGAGACGAACCGAGGCCGGGCCATTAGCGAACGCCAGAATGGCAGCACTCTGCAACCGTTTCTTTTATGACTCATCGTTTTTGGCCTCCGCACAAACGAGCTGGAGGGCGGCTTCCTTGTACAGATGAGATGCCCGCTCGCGACTCGCTGGAAGGACCCAGCGGCGCTAGCTGAGGAGTGTGTTTGGGTGCTCGCGGCTAAGCCCGCGCATAACGGGTTTGCCCCTGGGATCCGCGTGCACAGCTTCCCCTCGGTGCTGTGCCACAGTCATTCAGTAGCAATACCCCCGTCCTGACCTCAAACAGTAGAAAACTACCCCGAGTATTATCATATATCCTTTCCTGCTTAAAAGTTCGATAGATCTCTAGTGCGGACTTAACCATGCCAACTCGCCACATGTCGGTTTCCGTTTTCTTCACCTTATTCTTAACCGATAGTTCTTTTTGGTTTGGCCCCCTGCTATTTTCAAAGTATTTACCCGTCAATTTTCTGGTTCGCTCCCTCCATTTTGTATCGACATTCCTCACGTACAAATAGCTGAAAACCTTCCTAGCCCAACGCTCCTCTCCCATTTCTTTCAATCGCTCCTCAAGTTTTATCTTGCTGCAAGCATAAGTTTCTCAAAATGAGAAACTCTATGGCTGCAAGCTTCCCTGCATGGAGGAAGGAAAAACTTCCTCTTTGCGTCAAGATATGGTCCCTAGAATAAGCATAGTCAGGGCATTGGCCGAGTGTTCCGAAATCCGGACACGCATTTGAAAACGTTCGCGTCACCTGGTAACAACAAAACAAAACACAAAAATTAACACCGATAGTTATAGCGCGTGAACAAAACGACGACACAGAGACAAGGACACGAAGGACACGCTGCCACACAATTAATGCGTTCAATAGTGGGTGTCATGATCAACACATGGCGCGACAATCCGAAGTCGCGAATGACGTGTTCGGATTTCGATACATATAGCCTACGGGGAGTTTGGCAAATCATATGATTGAATAAGTCTAGTTAATATGAGCAACGCCCAAGGAGGTTATACTAAAGCTATAACCTCCTTGGCAACGCCTTAGGAGGCGTTGATGTGAGACGTTACTGGATCGTTGATAAGAGGCAAGGATGAGTCGCCGGGTCACGACATAGAGCATGAAAGCCAAAGCGTAGCACACGAGCTACTACCGGTCGCCTTTGCATCTATGAGCACACATTACTTCGCCTCTTGGCAAGCGCTAAAAGTGTCGTAGTTATGATTAACGCGCTCAACACTACCAAACGGAAATATGCTGAATTGCCCGAACGAGCAGTTGCAGCTTGGTCTACTCAACTACAGATACAGCTTAGCATTGTAAACAGACCTTTCGGTGTTTTATTTTCAACGTTTTCACTCACTGGCCGAAGTTGTCAGTGAAATAAAAGGCAAAGCAACAAAACAACGGTGCCAGTTAACGCAACAACGTAGAACGCTGCAAGTGGCATTGGCCGCATTACAACTACCGTGATTGCAGCCATTTTGCAGACAACAACGCACAATACGAGATTTCGCGAGATGTTTTCTCAGAACAGGAAGTCGAGAATAATCACGTGATAACAAATGGTGGGTTCTTATCGTCTTACGAAGGGAGTGCGATGATGTGACCATTTGTTCAGAATTTAAATGGTTCGGAACTCGACCGCACCGTTTAGGCCCATGTTTTTGAATTGCCCGATGATGCAAGGTAAGATGACGGTCAAGTTGCGGTTTTCGCTTCTGATCGGCGTTTCGCTCAGTCTTCTCATTCTGCGGAATCCAAGGTTACACTTTGGCGATATATTTGCAGCTTTTTTTAATTTTATATAGTATCGACGGCAGTGGGTGTAAAATAACTTGCAGGTTGTACGTGTTTTGGATTTAGAATTTTTTTTCGAGATCCCACGCGAAGGAACGGTAAATCAGGAACGGTCAGTATCGCGTAGCAGAAGTGTTCGCGATTGTTTTTTTTATTCGAGCCGATTGGAAGGAAGGGAAGGGACGCTTCAGGGAGGCCGCGTAGTACCGTTGTGTTTCCGCCTTGAAGCGTAAAAGCTAGTGAGCTGAACAGCTAAGCGTTCAACCTTTCACCTAGGGCCAACGGTGGCGATCTTGGCGCGCCCGTAGCACCACTTGCGCATAATCGGCGCCCAACACTTTCGTAGCTGCTGGCATTGCGGCCAGATTAGGCCTAAACGATGTCAGGATAATCTGCTTAGATTTCTCGATTTTTCATCTTTTAGGCCGAATCGACACGACTGCTTGGACACTTTGCTATACTGGTCGTGAATATTTGGTTAGTTATCGCACCCAGTGAAGCGCCAGATGCTGTCTTGTTGCCGTAGTTATAAAAGTTTCAACGCCTGTCACCACCGCGATGAGCAGCTGACTCGCACGGGTACGTTATCTGCAAACATCCTTCATGAAATTCTCGCCGACCGATCAAGATTCGTGGTGGGCATGACATTTCTCGCTCCATCGTAATCGCGACGCTTCAGCATCATAGCCGCTTTCATAAGTTTACGTATGTAGCTTGGTCAATTTCAGTTGTGTGATCTCTGTGCCGAATAAGGTCGTATTTGTTCAAACTATGCAAGTTGTGAAAAGGAAACCGTTATACGTGTAACGTTTTCCTTTTCTATACTTTTATGCATGTGGAATTGGGGGTTCTGGTTATTTGATGTGAAACCAAACTACTGTTATTCATTTTTCACTGGTAAATGCTTATGGGTGTCAATAAGCGAAGAGTGACGTGTGATCCAGGCAGATTTTATTTATAGGAGGGAAACAGTAAACGTACTTAAACCAGTAAGATGTAACAGTAAAATATAGACTGATTAAACTGCTCGAAGAAGACAAAACGTTAGGCACATAGAACACGCACACACTGCGCTTCGTGGGTGCGTCTTCTGTGTGTCTAACGAGTTGTCTTTTTCGCGCTGTTTAAACATGTTGTCAAAATCAATTAGCCAACTAGCCCAACATCATGCATTACTTCAGAAATATAGCGATTCCTCTGCTGAAATAATACATCTGGAATTGATGAAGTACTCGGCTTTTATTGTTTTTGTCAAACAGTGCATAGCCTGAGAAAAGGTTCAGGTTTCAAAACCCCTCCCAAAATGTGCTTGCATGTGTGCAAATACATCTGCACATGCATGTGCAGACTGCAACACTGATGTTCTGCTTCACAACAGTTTCCCATGTACTATATATTAGTGTCTGTGACTCTTCTGTAAATTTCTTATTTATTTATATATATCTACATATATCACACACTGACATGCAGCTGCTTCTGTAGCTACATAGGTGAATTAATATTGTAATTTAGCGACAGTGTTGTCAAATCACTTGAGAGCCTAGCCTTCACATTCTGTTATGCATAAAGGACAGAACATGTATTGCTGCACCCTTCCAAAAACTTAGATCTTCATAAATTAATATTTGTCTTTATGTGAGTGTTTTTATTACTGACATGCATAGCATCATGTATCAGCATGTGTATCATCGTATGGTCGCTTTTTTCCATGAAATTTTTCTGTCTCCATAAGGGCTTTGTTTTTTTATTTTTTGTAGAAACTTGTAAAGCTAATTCCTGTTGCATAGAGCAGCTCAAAAGATAGTTCAGCTAGTGCTGTCATGTAAACCAAGTTTTTGGCTGTAAAATCTGCAATTTTTATTCTTCAATTGCACCTTATACTTCTCCAATATGAGGGTATAGTGATAAGAGTGCTTGTATAGTGTGTATAACAGTGCTTGTCTGCGTTCCAACTTCCAAGAAAAAAGAGAGTATTTGGGTGTATTTCTGCCGCACGACTATAATCGTCATCTGGCTTGCTCGCATTAACGTCATTAAAACCCCATCTTTTGCCAATTTCCTATCAATGAATGCTATGTCACCCTGATAGCAGCATGGCATTTGTGACTGTGAAGTCTTGGGACCATGGTAATAATGCAAGGAAAGTGTGCTAGGTAGATGACAATTGAACTTGTGTGGCGGAAATGCTCCATTATTTTTTATAGTGTGAAGCAGTATTTCCAACTACAATAAGCATGCTATTTCTGGCAATTGCAAGAGCCTGTGAATTTCAAACAATACATGTGTATCAATGCAGCTGCTTATTATGGTTTAGCAGAAACCATGGTCATGGTGGGCAATATATTCTAAATGTGACCTACCACCTTACACCTAGAGAGAATTTTAACCACTTAAAGGGTACCGACACAAAATTTCTTGACCGATATAGCCTGTGGGATTGATTCCCGTGAATATGCGTAGATCGTCTACAAAAATATCAACAGCAAATATAGCTTAGAAGGTATTTTAAATTAATTTTAAAGTTAGCGTGAGCGATCAACTCCATTGTGCTATTGACAACCTCAAAGGGGACCCTTGGGGACCCTTTACTTATGCACGTGACCACGCTTAAGCAAGTTATGACGACATCATAGCTGCCTTCTTTCTTTGGTCGCGTTTGTTCCAGCAGGCTATTACTCAGCAGCTGTTCGCGAGTCCGTGGCCACGGCGCACAAGTTGAAAGTTATGTTTTTTATTGCGTTGCTGTCCTGTTCAAAAAAACTTCTTGGTGCGAACCACGCAGAAGTACGTCACTGTTGTGTGCTAACATGATCGAGCGTTGCACCCGCTTAATGGTGATAGTTGCACTTGGTGGTTTGTTGTTTTTGAAACCGAAACAGACACTGGTTGGTAATTATCTGTCACGTGCTGTAGAAAACAGTGTGTCGTGTTATGACTAACAGGCCTTCAGGAACGCACTGCAGCAAAAAAAACGCTAGGCCAAAATTGTTTCAGTACCCCTTTAAGCACTTTATTTTTTGGAAAATTTCCCAACCAAAATAACATTTTTTTATTACTGATTTTGAATCTGATTATGTTAAAGAGCAGGCAGTTGAGGTTGAAAAAATATTTGTACCTCCATACTAGGTCAAATCAATGCAATAGTGTTTATTTTGGAATGATACACAAAAAAGCAGTCGCAAACTTTTTTTTTTTGTTTTGACTTGTGTAGGCTGAGACCTCTTGCGCTATTTCTTTCTGGAAGCTTTGGGAATGCGTGAAAAATTTCAAAACATTGACTAAAGTGGCTTTACTGGCAAACACTTGCGATGTTCGCTTTGAGCTGTCATCATTGTCATCAGAGGAGCTTTGGGATAGTTGTTTTGACATCATTCTTGCTTTGGGGAGCGGAGTTTTGCTTGGGAAAAGAACACGCGCCAATTTTTGAGCATCCTTTCTGTAATGTATACTTTTCCCAAGCAAATCTGCGCTCCCCTATGCAGGAATGATTTCGATTCGTCAACGCGATCTTCACTTCTGGGCACAAGACTAACATCTGTATCAGATTCACCATCACTCAAAAAGATAATGAAAATCTTCTTTTTTGTGTTGTCGGACAGCCATGCATGGGTCACACCCATCGCATGCCATCTATAAAAAACCGTGCTCCTGGTCCAGGAGAAAACTAAATCGTTGAGTGAGTGCTGCAATCTAGTAGATGACTTGCAGTCTTAGCTTTAGACGAGTGCTTCTTGTTCTGAACACTACAGGGGAGTACCTATTCCGCTGGGATGACCTCTGCTCGGCCAAAGCACTTGAGGGGTTAAGGCGATTGAAAAGAGGAGTGTCCTATATTGTAGTGAGGCCATTCCATGTTCTTCTTTCTCCAAGCCTGTTCATTCAAGCTCTGCCATAGAAATGTGTACTCCCCCACCACTTCTAAAATTTTCACTCTTCGTGTATGTATATGTACATGAACACTGGCATAAGTATTTCTTTTTTGTCAATACTATGTAAACTAACGGAGTAAAAGCAGAGCTTATATATTCATTGAAATGTGTTTTATGAAATAGTGCATATGTTTATTATTTTCCTTCATGCAGTTTTTGCCCCTTTCTAGCTTGCTGGCCAGTATGAACTACAGCTGTGCTCAATTCCCTTTGGCAATACTCCTGCTTTACTGACGGAGTTTAGGCAAGTGGTACTTTTCAGATTTCTATTGTCTGTTTTGTCTGACGCGATGGTGTAGTGGTTGCAGTGTATAGCTGCTGATTTGAAGGTCGAGGGTTCGATCCCGGCCTCGACGGTCGCATTTCGATGGTAGGTAAATGGTAGAGGCCCATATACTGGTCTATGTCAGTGCTCATGAAAGAATACCAGATGGTTGAAATTTTCTGAGCTCTCCCTCCACTACCTCATTCCTCACAATCATATCGTGGTTTTCAGACGTAAGACCCCACGTATTTTAAGATTGTCTATTTGCCCACGCTAAGCTCATGAAATAGAAGACAAGCTGTTTAGAGTTGTCTCTTATGCACTATATGAGTCCTAGCAATTCAGACATTGACAAGGCAGTAGCTACATGTACTTGTATTGTGACTTGATGTGTAGGCTGACGTCACTATTAAGGCACAAAACAAACTCCTCCTTTTGGCTTGAAGACAGGTGTGTATGCTGAATGTAGTAGTTGCACATTTTATTTGGTGTGCAATATTTCCCAAGGTACAAGTAGACTACGTGGTTCCCCAGGTGTTTCTAAATGGTTCGTTGTTTTTATAAGAACATAATAAATGGGTGTAAGCATGCTTTTCTTTAAAAAAAGAAACTTGTTAAATGAGGTATAAATATTAATGTCTTTAAATATGTAATACTTCAGCTAAAAAAATGTGGACCAGCATGCAATTTAGTTCAGTGCATTTATTCCTTTGATTGTGCTTGCCATGATGTAGTTTGCAAATGGCTAAACTTTTTTGTTGCGGCAGCTGTCTTCTAAAGATAATGGAAGGGGGGATGTTTTTCAGTCATAGAATCGCATTTTTATTAATGTTAAAATTTATGCATGTTTCATGAGCATTTCTCCATATAGGAAAAGTTTAATATTATTATTTGACTGACAGTCTGCTTTTTTTTCTTTTTTTTACCTTCTCTGGCATTTGTGAAAGCCCAGCTGTTCTTTTTTTTTTGTAGTACTTTTCATGAGAGTTCTATATTTGTATTTTATATTGCTTTTGTTGTTATATTTATATCTCTTGCTTGCATTTATCTCCACAAATTTCAGTAGCAGCAAATAGTACAAATATATTGCATATGGTTGGTGCTGTACCACTGTGACACAGCTGCTACCATTAACTTATTTACGGCTGTGTCACATGAGCTTTCATGGAAGGCCTTGCAGTTGATAGTCTTCAAAACGCTGCAACTTTATTATTTAAAAGAAATTACAGCAGTGCTACATGGCTGTGTTGAAAGGCCAATTTTTTTAGATGTTTAGATGTTTCTTGTGTATAAAGTTCAGCGCTGCAGCTCTTTCGTCCCGTTTTCATGTGGCTAAAAGTTAAATAATATTGAATCTATTCAAGTGGGTGGACAACTGTCCAAAGCATGAAATGAGATGACTCCACTGATGAAAAGATTGATTGTTGCATTGACTCAAACCAACCCTGTTGTTTTTCCGTGAGAGATGGATTTATATTTTTATTTCTTCATTGAAAGTCGCCAAAAATGACCTGTGGCATTTCTGATGGCAAAAACATAAATGATCCGATGTACCTGGCCACATGACGATTTACAGGGTCAACAATATTTTGTTAAGATTGAAATATTTTGTTTCTTTTTAAAAGTGTGCATATAGCCCTCTGTTAGTAATATGCATTGAAGTGGTGCTGCCTCTATGTGACGTAATGATTCCATGCTCGTCAGTGCATCTTGAGCAACTTTTTAGTGTGCTCAAACAACAGTGCACATAGTTTTGAGGTCGCTAAGGTTTTGGAAGGACATACTTTTGCTACCTACACTTTGTCCCAGAAATTATACGCACTGCTTATTGCCGAAGCCGTGTAATACATAGTGAAATTTTTGATGACTTAGCTTGGCTTGTGTATTGACAGAGAAATAACGTCGGGACAAGCCATCTACAACATGCTCAAATTCATTGCACGTAGCTGCCGAAAAAAACACACGAAATTCCAAGATGATTTACGCACTGAGCGTATTACCTAAATGTGGTCTCCTATGTGTTCTTTTTTTTTAAAATAGCATATCTTTTTTGTTCGTCTTTGTGTACTTCCATGTAGATTTTGGGCATTTCATGTACCCTGTTTGAGAAGACATTCTGTAACTGCCTTTTATGCTTGAACTTCTAGTTTTTTTTACCACTTGTGTCTATTCACGTCAGTTCCAAATTTCCAAGTATGTTGTAGTTTGCATTTATTTCTTTTCTGTTGCCCCGCCGTGGTGGTCTAGTGGCTAAGGTACTCGGCTGCTGACCCGCAGGTCGCGGTATCAAATCCCGGCTGCGGCGGTTGCATTTCCGATGGAGGCGGAAATGTTGTTGGCCCGTGTGCTCAGATTTTGGTGCACGTTAAAGAACCCCAGGTGGTCGAAATTTCCGGAGCCCTCTACTACGGCGTCTCTCATAATCGCATGGTGGTTTTGGGACGTTAAACTCCACATATCAATCAATCAATCATTATTTCTTTTCTGTTTTTATTGTTGTTTTCTTGATTGATTGATTGATATGTGGGGTTTAATGTCCCATAACCACCATATGATTATGAGAGACGCCGTTGCGGAGGACTCCGGCAATTTTGACCATCTAAAGTTCTTTAACGTGCACCCAAATCTGAGCACACAGGCCTACAACATTTCTGCCTCCATCGAAAATGCAGCCGCCACAGCCGGGATTCGAACCCACGCCCTGCTATTGTTGCTTTCTTGCCGAATGTACACCAGCCAATTGTCAGAATTGTACTTTTTACTATTACTTTCACTCCATTATTTTTCAAATTTATTGTTATATGTCCCCCTATGTAATACCCTTGTCGAGGGCCTTTCGGGGTATTTTGAAATGAAAAAAATAACAAAAATAAAGGGGGTTAAGCATAGTTACAGGAATTCTTGCGAAAGCAGAGTGACGACAGCTTTCACAAATCACGAGAAGGGCTGGCGGCATCGCTATCAATTCTCAGCATTGCTGGAGGAAAAGTATATCTGTGTTTTTGCATGCTTTTGGGATTAATTACTGCAGCCACAAACACTACGTAGGGTCCGCTTTCTGTCACGCTGAAAAAAAAAGGTATACGAAAGATGAGTTGTTGGTGCGTTCAAGGGCACAAAAATTTATAATATAGGTGTCTTTTGAAATGGAATAAGGAAGAAATAAGCGCAGTTCTGTTACTGCCTCTCTCTCAATGGAGGGCCATCCACAGTTCTGCGCAGGGGATGGGGGTAAGGAGGGATTAAAAAAAAGGATGCACAGGGACAGCCTCATACAGAAGTAAGGAGAAGATAGGAAAGATGGACACGGTCGCAGAAGTTATACACCAGTTGTCGTGATCCCACCGCTGATCACCAGTTGTTGTGATCCCGGGGTGCTGTGGTAGCGTGGTGTAGCTTCGGGTTGAGGAAACGAGCGCTTACAAGATGGGGATATGAAAAAACAAACAGGTTTATGGCACTATTTACAAATATTTACAGCATGAGGTTAAGAGTTCGCAAACCACGAACGTGGTGGTTGAACCGCTACACAGTTCAGAGCCTTCACAAATTACGAACGTGGTGGTTGAACCTTTACTTGGTTCAGAGCCTTCACAAACTACGAACGTGGTGGTTGAACCTTTACTTGGTTCAGAGCCTTCACAAACTACGAACGTGGTGGTTGAACCTTTACTTGGTTCAGAGCCTTCACAAACTACGAACGTGGTGGTTGAACCTTTACTTGGTTCAGAGCGACGTCCTGCACTCTGCGGCGCCGTTATAAGCCCTGTCGGGCTCCTCCTTCTTCAGTGGAACACCAATCACACACACACACGACAGGTGAAGGGTACGAGCATGCCCGGCGCACGTGAACATCCAATTTTGAGTCAAGATCACTGCACTGAAAGGTGGCGCCAGAGGGGCTCTTGCTCGTCGTGTGTGTCACTGGTCGAGGGGTCCCAAGCTTCGGACAGCAGACATCAAACGGTCCGCCAATCTGTCCGCTCAATTAGCAGGGCACTTTGTTGCGGCGGTCGCCGTTTCATCAAAGGAAGACGCTGTCTTTGTTGTCCCCTCTGGAACGGCTTATAGCTTCGTGGTGACACGACGACTCATCCGCCGGTTAGCAGCGACAATACCTGGCGGGCATAGGCAGCCGAAAAAGAGCGCCGCTCCCCCGTCATCTCTGGACGCTGGTTCCGAGAAAACTGGGTTCTAGGCGTGGGAACGCTGCCCGGCCACACTTCTCAGCGACAGCATGGCGCCTACTGATGCCGGTCATAACAGCTTCCCCCTCGCCAGATGAGTCACGGAGGGCAGCAGTCAACACTGCTGCTCGCAGGGACGACGAAAGGGTCAGTAGTTGAATGCCAGGAACTGGCCTTCGCTTGTGGCATGATCCGGGAGATTGCCGAATCTTCGACAGCATCTCTGATACTCGACCACATGTACAAGCAAGCACTCGGCCCCCTTCGAACAAACCAAGCCAAAAGAGGGATAGCAAACCAATTTTAATTACTAGCTTTAACAAAAGCTCACACTCAAAACTCTCAGAACTCACTTGAGCTGAGAAAGCAGACTCAGACGTGCTACCTTACAAATTTCACATAATAAGTTGCACGAAAAAAACTAAAATATCAATTTTGATACATCAAGAGCACCCCAGAATGGCTTAGAAAGAGCGGCTGAGCGCGTCAGCGTTTCCATTCAATTTGCCCTTTTTTTTCCTAATGTCAAAATGATATTTTTGAAGAATCAAGCTCTGCTTAACAAGGCGACTGTTCTTCGATGTCATGGTTTGCAGCCAAGTAAGGGGAAAATTGGTCTGTTCCTACTTTAAATTTAGCCCCTTTGAGATAACACTGCCACTGATGAATGCCCTACACAAGGCAAGCGCACTCCTTTCCTGAAGCGCAGTACGTTATCTCCTGTAGCCCAATTTCTGGCTCAAGTAAAGTGCAGCTTTGCTTGTTACCACTGTCGTCCTGACATAGAACGGC